ATCAGCAGTTATTAAGAATCGTTTGGCGTGACTCTCCCTCAGAACCTATCAGACTATCAACTTACCACGGTCACATACGGAACAAAAGCAGCGCCGTTCCTAGCGATGATGACTCTCAAACAACTTGCATGTGATGAACAACAACTGTTTTTACATGGATCACCTGGTCCATGGGTGTCACGATATAAGAACCGCACGTCAATTACAACAAGACCTTATCAATTTATTAAAATCAGCTGGATTTCATTTGAGGAAATGGAGATCAAACTCCAATGACTTGATCAGAGAGGAAGAGTCGGCTCTATCAAAGGATGACAAATTTGATTTCAAGCAGTCAGCGCAAACAAAAACCCTTGGGTTAAGATGGAATCCACAAGAGGATGTTTTTATGTTTCAATCAAATTTAGAACCGACGGAAGTCTCCAATAAGGTCACAAAGAGAAACCTTTTATCAGACATATCAAAACTTTTTGACCCGCTCGGTTGGCTATCACCACTATCAACTAAGTTAAAAATTGTTTTTCAACAAGTGTGGACTGCAGATAATATTAACTGGGATGATCCTATACCGAATGAAGTATATATCGAGTGGAAGAAGGTCAGAGAGGTCATGCACAATATTCAAGACCCTCAGTTACCCCGATGGCTGCAGATCCATGAGTTCGACAGTATCGAGCTACATGGGTTCAGTTACTCGTCTGTCAGAGCTTATGCATGTGTTATCTATTGTCGTATCAACAAAGGCAATAAATCATCTGTAGTGTTGGTGGCCGGCAGAACCAGGCTTGTACCAACCAGAAAGACAGTCTCGTCACCGCATTTGCAACTGAGCGGAGCACTACTCCTATCAAAGCTAATGGGTAAAGTCACAGAGTGCCTTAGTGGGTACAATATCAAAATATATGGTTGGACTGACTCCATGGTAGTACTGGGGTGGCTCAACGGACAACCATCCAGATGGAAAACGTTTGTGGCAAATAAAGTTCGTACAATAACCGAAAATATGCCACATGACTGCTGGAGGTACGTTAAGTCGGAAGAAAACCCAGCCGACTATGCCAGTCGTGATCTAACTGCATCACAACTCGAAGCCCAGACCTTGTGGTGGCTGGGCCCGACTTGGCTATCAACATATAATGACATAAGATCGCTTATACAACAAACGAAGAATTAAAATTATCAAAAAAAATTTTAGTAGCACAACATCAACCTGATTTTATCATTTAAAAAATCCTATCAAAATGCAGCACAATTAACAAACCGGTAAGAATAGTTGCATGGATTCAAAGATTTTTAACTATCAAAGACAAAGTATAAAATATCTAACAGTACGAGAGTTGAAGGAAGCTAGGTTATTAATTATAAAAAGTATACAACAAACGGGATTTGCAAGAGAGTTATCAGATTTAAAGCAAGGAAATAAAATAAATCGAAAAAGCAACATTTGTGAACTAAATCCGTATCAAGATGAAGTATTGAGAGTCGGTGGGAGGTTGCGAAATGCCAATCTAGACCCAGACATGAAAAATCCTATCACTATACCCGGCAACAGTCGCCTTGCAGAGCTTCTTATAGATCAGGCGCATGAAATGACATACCATGGTGGTACATTTCATAAGCTCGGCTAACATCAGCCAACCTGAGACAAAAATACTGGATCGTCGGTGGCAACAGAGCTACGAAGAACAGATTACGCCATTGTATCAAATGTAGAAGGCACGAATCAACCAAACACTATCAAATTATGGGTGACCTTCCAGCAGCTAGAGCAAACCCTTCACGCCCCTTCCATCATGTCGCTGTAGACTACACGGGCCACGTGTTCATCAAAGCTAACTCAGGCCGTGGGATCAAAACTACGCAAGGTTATATCGCTGTGTTCACGTGTATGGCCACAAAGGCTGTACATTTGGAGTTGGTGTCTGACCTGACGATTACTGCATTCTTAGCAGCGTTATGGAGAATGACAGCTCGCCGTGGCAAACCTAATCACATTTATAGCGGTAATGGCACGAACTTCATAGGAGCCAACAAGGTCTTACAGCAGAGCAGAGCAGAGAGAGTCTTACGAAGAGCTCCTCAAAACATTTGGTGATGAATTCCTCTCAGAAGTGTCAGAGATGGGTATAAATTGGCACTTGAATGCACCTTCGTGGCCATCAGCCAATGGTCTTTGTAAAGGAGCCGTGAAAAGCCTCAAGTATGATCTAAGGAGGGTGGTTGGTGATCAAAAACTCACCTACGAGAAGTACAGCACGCTGCTAGCACAATTAGAAGCTTGCTTAAATTCGAGACCACTATGTCCGTTGACGGAGGACGCTGATGATTTAAATTATTTAACCCCATCACATTTACTATCAAGCGGTCCGATTCTATCAATTTATGAGACGGAACGAGATCTTAGGACTGGGTTGCATTTAACACAAAAAATATTCCAAGACATTTGGAAAAGGTGGCAACAAGAATATTTAACAAATCTATCAGCCCGGAGCAAGTGGGGCCAACTTCAAGAAAATATCAAATTAAATGACATCGTACTCATCAATGATGGTAGCATTCCTCCAGGCAAATGGGCCCTCGGTAGGGTGGTCGAATTGCACCCTGGTAACGACGGCTACGTGCGTGTTGTGACGTTAAAAACAAAAAATGGTTATATGAAAAGACCTGTTATCAAACTATCAATACTCCCTATCATCTCCGAAGAAACACAAGATCAGGAATTAAAGCAATAGAAACCAATAAAGCGTAAGATAAAACAAAGGAATAGAAGATACAGTTTCATTACAGTTGCAACTTCTATCTTATTATTTTTTATGACCCTTATAACTAATACTAGCGGACTATATACTATAAATAAACTTCAAAATAATACTACCCTATTTTTCGACAAGATTGTAAACATGCATTTGATAGCTGACGATTGGAAACTCGTTGTCTATTATGATCTCTACCCATATTGGGAAGGCACCGCCGCGTACATGAAATACCTAGAATCCATCTGTTCGAAGATAAGAGGGCATTCACACTGCGAGGGTGTCATGTATCAATTGAATCACGAGCAGTCGGAACTACGGCGCTACAATATTGTGTTGCAAGATAAGGGCGACCTACTCACACTTCAGTGCAGGGGACTAATTAATGGTGTAGGTAATATCGCAAACGCGTTGTTTGGGGTGCTTGACAGCAACTTTGCTGAAAAGTATGAAAAAGATATCGACTTAATAAGAAAAAACCAAGTACACCTAGCCCAGCTGTGGAAGAATCAAACTTCAGTCTTAGAAGCGGAGTTTAATGTCATCAAGAAGGCAGAGTCGATCATGGAACAGCATCATAAAACAGTCAACAAAAAGATGATCGAACTTGAACAATCGATGAACGCACTAAAGTCACAAGTCTCAAATAACTCATATATAAACAAATTTACCTTGGCCGCTATAGTTACAAACAACATTTTGAATAAGTTAAAAGAAATACAAACTTATCTTATTGAAACCGTATTTCACGGGAAGTATGATATTCATCTCCTAACCCCCAAGCAACTCCAACACGAATTAAGTGCCATCTCTACTCAGATACCTAAAGACCTATCACTACCTACCGATCACGCGAATTATTCAAACCTATACAAATTACTTAATGTAAAAGCACGCTTATCGAAGTACTTTCTTATTTTCGAAATCCGAATACCATTATTAGCACGAGACGCTTACGAAGTCCTTAAAGCAATTCCCATACCTAAACAATCGGGTAGCAACATGATCATTGTCATGCTGCATTGATCATGCATTGTATTGTCCATTAGATCATTGCATTGTCCCTATTAGCGAATATCTCGCTTTAAACTTAAACAAGGATTCGTTTATATCGCTATCATATACTTATTTACATGACTGCATTGATCGCGATTTAAATACTGTGTTGTGTCGATTCAAGAAGCCTATTTATCATATGGTCAATGACAAGAGTTTGTGTGAGAAGGATGAAGGACTTGGAAGCTGTAGAACAATCATTAACACCTGCAAAAATATTTTCATTGCAACAAGTAAACTTAATAACTACTTTTATTTTTGTCGTAATAAATGCTACTTTAAGTTGTTATGCGAAATCAAGTTACGGCTATTCAATTGAGTGACGTCGGACTTATTACGCTGGGACAGGAGTGCCTTATCAAATCAGCTGATTTCTATTTTTATTCATACAAACCAGATGCATCTCATATCAATTTAAAGCCCGACTTTGGTACACCGAAGATCGCTTCGATTAATCATTTAATAAACATCTCGATACCGGAGATGAACGCCAGTACGAGCTTGGAGACTATCAGCCAACAACAAGGGTAGTTTACGCTATAACGCTACAATAATGCATTTTGAGTCAGTGCGCTAATTGAGCTCAGCAATACCGGTCACGCGTGCTCGCAGTATCATTTCCCATCTATCATTAAATTAGATTTAGTTGGTTCTATCAATAAAATATCAATTATCAACTTCCCAGTATTGACTATTACTTACTATCAACAACTGTCAACCGACCACGTGGGGGTCCGGACGCAGCCCATACAACTCAATTCGTACATTTCAACACAATGGACACCTTGATTATCACTTTAACGAATGTTCGGTGATTTAGCCGAATATTCGGCCAAATACGAATATTCGGTAAAGCTGCCGAATATACCGAATATGAAGCGAAAATTCGGCCCATCTCTAGTAAAAATCAACGTCAAAAACTAAAAAGAATAAAAATAAATTATTTCTATATACCTAATAGCTTTTGAAATCGATGCTTGTGTCGTCAACAAGTAGAAAAACGTGAAAAATAGACATACAGCTGCTATACCCAGAATGCCATTGAATACCCCTCGTATAGTCATTACTAAGGGAGAAAACTGGGAAATAAGCTTATATGCAACAACAAGAGGTAACGGTCAAGAAAAAAAAACGTTTATGAGATTTTCATTAATTAGTAATGTATTCACTTTTAACTTTAATAAGGGTATTTTAATATCTATAAGAAAAACGTTCAAGGCGTTCTTCTAACATCTTCGCTCCTATCCAACGGTACAGATGAGGAATGTTGACGTAAACAGCAGGAATCGGCTTACCACAACCGATCCCAAATGCCACCATTCCATAAACAGCATACCTTGTTGTTTCACCTGTCTCCTAAAACAAGAAAAAATAAAAATAACTTCAGCAAATCAGTCAAGTTACAGCCTTACTTAAATCACCATCTACGTCCCACTGCTGAACCTAGGCCTCCTCTTATTTCTTAAGGATTGCCCCAAGGAATTTTCAATCCGGTTCAGATCCCTCCCGCTGGCATAAAAATGTTAATTGCAATTTTGAATGTTGATTAATCACGCGCTCAGCGGCAAATGAATCCATCGTGAAGAAACCTGATTGAGAAATAAAAAAAATATTTCGTAAACATGTGAAGTGTGCTAAAATGAGAGGCGGCCTGTGCCTTCGCGTCTTATGCAGTAGGTATGTGCAAGTGAAAAATATTTCGATACGATATATCGTATCAATATTTCAAACAGTATAGATATATCGTCACGTATTGCATGATGTAGGATAAGGATAAGGCCCAAAATTTTATTACTGGACGCTTGGACGACGAACAACAACCACAGCACATGATTGTATTTGTAGCTGCTTTTGTTGTTTAATGTTTGGTCGATTAATACAATATTTTAAAAAATATCGACGATATGTATCGATATTTCTTTGAGAGAATGTCGATATATCGATATATCGATATTTTCTACCCAAGCCTATATTGTAGATGAATTACGAAGCGCGATGATTTATGACATGTAGAGGCCGTAAATTTTAGTCTTACTTAGTACAAACACACACTCGTATTGCTTTCACGGAGAGTCTTGAAGAGTTAATGCCAAAATAAAGAGTCCTAAACTTGAAATGAAAAACTTACCATGATAGGACACACAAGAGAAGACCCACCGTCCCCTTTGCAGGTATCGACACCTTCTTCACCGCCGGCGCAAATATGGGACGGATGTAGGTTGTACCGTGCGGACAGCCTTGTTTTCCTTAGGGAAGCTTGGCACTCTTCGAAAGGTACGTACGGCAGCTGAACCTGAGCTCAGGAATAATTTTCCTTTTCAATAACTTTTTTTAAATAATAAGGACGATGAACAAGCACACGACCCTAATGGTAAACGGTTACTGTGAGCCATAGACATGTACATCTATCCCCGATTAAGAATTAAAATGCAGATACGTTGTCACTCTTAAGGACTTAGATGGTATGCCTCCTTTCCATTAGATAGGTCTGCAGTCTCTACACTCTTCACACGAAACGCTGTAGAAGAAAGCTGCTATTTTACGCTGGTATTTTGTGAGAGCGTGGTCCTTCCCAGGGCGAGCCGACAGATTCATGTTGCAACTATAATATATCTACAGCATAAGTCTACCACGCATAACACTTTTTTTATTAATCTGAAGTGATCAGCGGACTAACAGTTCATCCGATGGCAAGCGGCTTCTGCAGTCTATGGAATACATGCAGCCAACTTTATACAAAAATGCGTTGTCTCTCCGAGGACGAAGATGTAATACATCACAGCCTGTAATTGTACCGGATTTCCTGGAGTAAAGCAGTTCTCTTGTCTTCACTTATGACACCCACGGAAACAAACGGGATGATGATTTTTCTCTCTCTCATCACCTCTGTCATCACCATTTCAATTCGTGCTTACCAAAATTATTTCTTATATTTACGCGAATACATATTAAATATAATTTTTGTAAAAAATTAGAAAAAAGTTTCAAAACATAAACAGCTGCTGATTTGCAGACGAATGAAAAGATTTTCTTGAATCATAGCTACACATCATAGGAAACTCTCGACCAAGTCCCGTTTCAAATAAAAATAAAAAACTTAAACTGAATCTGTTCTTCCGTTTGAAAGCTACTATGCCACAGATAGACATACAGATACACCCTACGAAATTATAACACCCCTCTGTATTCGTCGGGGGTTAAAAATTATATTCAAGCCCAAGCATACTACTCCAAGACTTCAAGTATCTTGAAGTACAAGGTCATTCTGCGGGGATCGAACCAAAGATTAATGTTTAAATGTTAAAGGTAGCCTTCGTTAACCATTACATCAGGACGTCAAACACCATAGTCCTGTTGAACATTAGAATTTATTGTACACATTTCTTTTACTCTAGTAATATCAAAATATTTATTTCACTCTTTTGTATTATCTTTCTGGCAACACTGTTATAATCATTATAACGACTACACTGTGGGATAACCTTAATAAACAAGTAAACCTCAATTGTGGTGTCATCTTTTCCTCTCTGCTCTCCACTCCAATTAAATCGCAACAATCACAGCAAGTCCCACCGGTGACCACAGAAGTATGGGTGTAAAGCGCGCGAAAAGTCGGGAATTAAAAAGTTTAAATGAAACGCGATAAATTCGTAAAATTAGTTTCTTTTAAACATACCTTTTTCAAAATAACAGCGTACTCGTTCTTCTTCTGGAACTCCTTTCCCCAGCCCATACTAAAGCATTGCGTGCCTGGAGTAGGCAGGTCAGGTGAGAGGCACGCTACGCCAATGTGGGGTGCGTCCGTCAAGTTGTACGGCTTTTCCAATATCAGAAGAGAGATATCGTTGTACGCCGGTGCTTGAATCACAAGTTTTTTGGGTTAGTAGAAAAATATTTTTTTATTAAAATTCCTATATCAATCGGGTCTACATCTGCTTTTTTTTATAAAATAAGGGTGACAAAAAAGTTATGTAATAAACAAACATTTTTTATTTTTTTAAATGTTCGTTTTTTGTGTAGATTATGAAAAAAATATAACAACTTCATTCGATTATTTTTAAAAAAGTTATCAAAAATTATACGTGATTTATTGCATTTTCATAAACATTTAAAGCCTTGAAACCAATACAAAATTTCAAATTTTTTATTCGTGTAATTTTTTTCATCAATCTGCCGAAATAATGAAGATTTTTTAAAAAAAATCATCGAAATCGGATGCTTTTCGAAGTTCTAGAGCCAAAAAACGAGGTGACCGCGATAGTATAAATTTACCAAATCTCCCAAAAACTTTGCAATGTGACGCATCAGCATATTGTGAAGAAAAAAATATAAAAAAATTAAGATTCCGAAAGAAATGATGGGCTCAGAAGGGCTAGAACCCAGAGCCGTAAAGTCAGTTAAATAAAACAAAAAAAACACAACAGAAAATAAAGTATTCATAAAAAACACCATCGATTTTTAATAACATGTATATGTTTATTATGTCATTATATTACTTAAAACTAATATTCACAAAAAACAAAACAAAAAAAAAACAATACTTTTTCTTCCCATTGTTTACACAAAGTTGACGTCACACAGTAAAGGTCATTGAACCGAGCGTTTTGGCGGTAAAATCAAAACCATTAAAAATAAATTCAACTTTAATTGGTTTAATGGAGAAAAAAAGACATTAATTAATAATTTTTTATTTTTCTGTTAAATATTTTGTCCGAATCTTTATATATAAGAAGTTTTCAAAAATTTGGAAAATACCCTGTTATATATAAACCTATAATAAACCTATCGCACAAGTAAACAAATAATTTTCATTAAATGTTTTAACGGTAGTCGATACTCAGGCTGGAATACAAGTGACTGGAAGTGGCTCATATTGTCGTGTGGAGTATGAAATATGTTTTATATATAATGTTTGATGAGTTTTTAAAAGAAGCTATTTGTTTGATTCTTTTATATTTCTTATATAATACAACTTACTCATATAGTACTCCTCATGGGTGATGACCTTCTTTATATCCCGCTCCTGATATGGATATAGCTCAAGATCTGTCTGCGTGTCCCACTCTCCAGCCCGACATTTTATCTGACAAACGAGAAATATCTGTTTAAATCTGCATTCAAACCAAACGTTTGCTTACAGCAAAGTAGCGGAATAATTTGCCGTTGTCTGGCTTTCCGTTCCTTTACATATGAGCGTCTTAAAGGCAACAGTGTATAAGCCGTAGTAACGGTAAGACATTGCATTTTACCTTGTAGAGTTAAGTCAACACTTACCACCAGGTGGAACCATATAATACCATATAGTACCTGGATGACCGGTATTTTTTTGGAAATCGTGTGTTTGGGATATTTAGATACAAATTACATACTGATGAAATATGAATAGTATTTTTTGATCTTAGCGACATAATAGAAAAAACGGAACTGGTTATTTGAATAAAAAATCATGAGTGCAATTAGTTTTATTCAAATTTTTCTGTTTTTAAATAAATACTAAAAAAGGGCTCGAAACAATATATGTTCTCACAAAAGAAGGGAACTTGAAAAAAAAGGTAAAAAAGTCGGCCCAAAGACAGGACGCGAACCAAGGCATTACGATTGCGCGACCGCTCGCCATCCACTTGAGCTATTACGATCATTAACACAGTGTCAAAATTTACCTTCTTATATTGTAGCGGTTTTTCATTGCCTGAAAACACGGACAAAACGACATTTTATAAAAATAAATCCTAGCTAGATCGATTTATTGCCCCCGAAACTCCATGGACACCATATTTTATTAAAATCATTGGAGGTTTTGTTGTGTTTGCAATAATACACGTTCGTTAGCGAGCCAACAACTTATTTGTTCCTATCATAACTACCTACGTATACAATAATACGAATACCTACAACATCTCCCCTTATTAATAAAGATACAATATCATCCATCCCCCTTATATAAAAAAATAACTGAAGCAAACGAAATTTCATATAACTCTAACTTAAAATTTATTATATTTATATCTTAAAATTAATTAATTAAATTTTTATGTTGAGTCGTCGGGCCTTACTACGTGTGAGAGGGTGTGGCCATGGTGTGGATGCCTCATTATTATTATCATTGAGCACATTTTGAGCAATTTTATTTTCACTTAAACTAGAATTCTCGTTACGCTGATTTATCTTATCAGGGCTTTGTTGTGATTTTTTGCATTGCACAAAATTGCCACCCCCTCCATTTCCAGTGATGAAAATATCTTTTTTTATATTTTTAAAATCCTGACTTGAGTAAGACTTAATTAAATGACGCCTATTGCGTCGGATTGGTCTTCCTAGCTTATTATTTATTACATATGAACGAGGAGTATCACCTTCACCTATTACAGTAGCGGAAGTTCTTTTCTTACCATCTATACATATTACTTCGTCATCAATGTTAAGTTTAGGCAACGGTTTACAAAGTTATCATAGTACATTTTTGACTGCTGCTGTTTTTGCAGCGTTGTTTTAAACGTAGATGGGTCTACAACTTGTGGTTTTAGTAAATCTGCACAAACTGGTAATTTACAACGTAATCTGTGACCCATTAATAATTGCGCGGGAGAGTCCAAACCATGTCTCGGAGTATTTCTGTAATTCAATAAAGCAAGTTCAAAGTTACTATTCCCCTTAAGAGCTTTAATTAACAAAGACTGAACGGTTTGCACCGCGCGTTCCTTTTTCCGTTAGCCAGTGGATAGTTTGGTGAGGATGTAATGTGAGTGAAGCCCCAATCTCTACTAAACTGTTTGAACTCGCGACTAGTATATTGAGTGCCATTATCACTTATAAGTATTTCAGGTATACCGTGTCGTGAAAATATTTCCTTCATACCACGTATAATCACTTGTGATGTAATATTTTCTAATTTTTTTACCTCACCATAACTAGAGTAATAATGAACTAAAATAAGATAATATTTCTTTCTATATTCAATTATATCAGACCCCACCTTAAACCAGGGCAAATTAGGAACTTCCACTGGAATCATGGGTTCTTTAGCTGGTGCGTTTGAACTCTCCCTGCACACCGAACAACGTTTCACATACATTTCTATGTCACGTGACATGCCTGGCCAAAATATAACTTATCTTGCGCGTCGCTTACACCGATCTACACCTAAGTGCCCTTCGTGCACAATTTTCATCATATCTGTTCTCAGGGAGCGAGGGATTAAAACAACATTTTAACAAACCTACCCAGTAGACCAAAGCTTTACCTAAGTGCAATAAAAATAGCTGAAAGTAAATGGCGACATTTGCAAGAATTGAAGGCCGTCATTCCTTTCGACTGTCATAGATACTACGATTTTCTACCTTATTGATACGTTATTTATGGATCCCTTATTATGTTGTTAGTATAGGCAAATACATTTGAAAACTTGTTTAATTTTTTTTTTGATTTGACTTATAGTTTAAGTTTATTTTGATAATTAAAATTATCAAAATAAACTTAAACTATAAGTCAAATCAAAAAAAAAATTTAAAAAAAAGTATTAAAATACACCCAGTTGGTTTAAGAAAAAAAATGTTGATTAGTAAAATAATGTTGTTATTTTGATAATAATAATATAATGTCTACATTTTTATCTTTACTTGTGCAATATCTTTCATTTTTGTAAGTTCCTTAAACATAACACCAATTTGATTTAACTTTTTGTAATTACTTTCCAATTGTCTGACTTAGAAACATGACGTAAGTCAAAGCAAATTTTAATGAACAGAGCAGAAGTCACGATAATACCTTATTAATAAAAATAACTTTATATAAATCGTTTTTATTTCTTTAATAACTTAATTTTAAATACGTTTTCCCAATAAGTATACCTCAAATATAGCTAATAATAATTTTACACGGTTATTTTGCTCTCCTGTAAAATAGACATTTTTGACTTTCGCACTGTTAGAACTTCACTGACGACTGTCTCTAAATATGACGTCGTCTACCACATATAACTCATCTTTTAATGACCAATATTTTTTAAGATTTTCTATTACGTTATACTTATCATTAGGCCATCCTAATTTAATATAATTTAGTAAGGTACATAAATCAAAATATTTTTTCGTTTTATTTTTTATCAGTTGCTATTTGAAATTGGAATACTGTTTACAATTAATTTTATTTGATACATTTTTTTTATCTAATTTATTATATAATACTAAGTCGGAAAGCGGCGCTCGAGACAATGGGTGCGTTTGGCAGAAAAAAGCACTAGCAAGCGCTTGTAAGCAAAATGGCGATCGTAAGCGGTAAGCGCTGTCAAATCGTAAGTAGCTATTTTCCTCCAGTACACGATGTTAGTTTTAACCGGGGAACCTAACCTAATTTAAATATATGTTTGTAAAGTATTCATATTAAAAACTTACCAATCATGAATTTTTAATAACATGTATATGTCTATTCATGTCATTACATTACTTAAAACTAATTTTACACAAAACAACTTTAAACTCTACTTCAAAATAAACAAATTAAATACGCAAAATGGCGGATTGTGTCAGCGCTACTGAAGTAGCAATCGTGTCCTGGCCGAAAACTATTTTAGCGCTTGTAAGCGCTTGCTAGCGCTTTTTTCTGCCAAACGCACCCAATGCATCTGAAATATACATATATTTTCCTGGTTTATACTTAACGACTAAGTCATAGCCTTGTATTCTGAGCATCATACGTTGCAAGCAGGCTGGGACGGACATTAATGGTATTTTAAACATACTTTCCAAAGGTTTATGATCTGTTCCTACGACAACATTATCTTTTGCAAAAATATACTGATGAAATCGTTTACAGGCGAACACAATTGCTAACAATTCCTTTTCCACTTGTGGCGTATTCGACCGGCCGACCACCCTGCAGTAGTACCGCACCGAGTGCATCGCGAGACGCGTCTACCGACAACAAGACAGGCTGAGATACGTCGTACAACGCCAACACTGGCGCTGTGCAAACACATTCTTTTAATTTTTCGAATGCTGTCTACTCACTAATTTCCCATCGCCAACTACTATCTTTTTTAATAAATTCGTTAGGGCAAGAGTGCGATCAGAATAACACGGTATAAATTCGATAAATAATTAACGGCTCCCAAAAATCTTCCTAAACTTTTTCTGTCTGAGGGTTGAGGCATCTCAGAAATGGCTTTTACTTTATTAAGGTCGGGCCTCATACCGTTTTTATCAAAAATATGTCCCAGGTAAGTAACCTCTTCAACTGCTATTTTGCATGTTTTTTAAAATTTTAAATTAATTTCTCTAGCTCTTTGTAACAACGCAACTAGTCTTCTGTCGTGTTCGTGCTTGTTCCATCCCCAGATAATTATACCATCTATAAAACTATCTGTGCCCTCTAAATCTTCTAAAAGCTGCCTCATTTTAGCGGGAAACACTTCGGATGAGCAATTAATACCGAACGGTAAACGAAGAAATTGATATCGACCGAACGGTGTATCAAATGTACACAAGTCTGCAATCTGCTCATCCAGTTGTATAGCCCAAAAACCTGAGTTGGCATCCAAGACGGAAAAGAACCGTGCTCCGTGTAGCCGCGCTGCGAGCTCCGACACTGTGGGCAGTTGGAAATGCGCGCGCCGCACTGCACGGTTAAGTTCTCGTGGGTCTAAGCACACACGAATCCCGTTGTCCTTTTTTGCGACTAGAACTAGTGGATGCACCCATTGAGTTGGATGAGAAACTTTTCTTATTATACCTTGGTTTTCCATATTTTAAAACTCATTTGCTAGACGTTCACGTAAACTTAACGGAATCTTCCTAAGATTACAAATCACCGGAGGTACGGATTCGTCTAAAACAATATGATACTTTCCTGGAAGACACCCAATACCACTAAATAAGTCATCATAGTCTGATATATTAATTTCATGAACTCGTTTGACTAACCCTAACTTCTCACACGACTGTCGTCCCAGCACGCTTTGACAATGTAAATCGGCAATCGCAGACTTTAAATTATAGCAAACATTTTTATAAAAACATTGTAAATAGCAAATACCTCTTACTGGTATTATATTACCACTATACGATTCTAATTTAATACAATCATTTTTTATTATATTGGAATCAAAACCCAGTTG